AACTACAAATTACTAAAGGTGAATCGACTTTTTACATATTAACTACATAAAAAGCTGGAGCAAATTTTACGCCAAGGCGATATATATATTTTAAATATTTAACTTTTGCACAAACATTCACACACCACATAAATAAACAAACAAATAAACAAGGACTGCAAGTACAAACATTTCGTTTTTTGAGCTTGCGGTTGGCGTGTTGTGATAAAAGCTTTGGACTCATTGCATGTTACACAAAAAATAACAAAATCCAAAAAAAAAATATTATCTTGCTACTGTGCCTGTTTGTGTGTGTATGCGACGATGTGCCTGTGTAAATTGGGTCAAGGCCACGCAAACAGCTTTCAACTGGGCCAAAACCAGAAATAGGGAGGTAGTATTCGCCATTTGAAATTAAAAACGAAATCTTATTTTCCAGCTAATTTTGGGTACGGTAGGGAAAAATAGCCATAAACGGAAAAGGATTTGAAAACAAACGATTTAATTTTACCTAATACAATTGTAATTTCACCAAAATTGCATAATGCCTTAAATTTTATATATTCTTTTTATATAAACCAGCGTTTGGCAATCTATACAATACAATACAATACGTTTTTTGTTTGTACTTGAAACTTCCGAGGAGCAACTCATCAATGTGTGTGTGCCAACAGCTGTTCTACACTGTTCGTGTGGCGGCAGATAACTATTCCCTAAGCCCACTTAATGTTAAGCTGATAAAAGCCTTTAGAACACGGCATTAATAATTTTTTAATGACGTTTATAATTTTGAATGCTGTTATTCCAATTAAAATCCAATCAATGGATATAATCACCCATATAAGCAAGCTTTTTGTTACCGAATCAGCAGAACCCATAAAAAAAGAGCTCACTTCAAAATGAATAATTTAAAAATTCTGCAATACTTGGCCTTCAAACGATAAATTGCAATTGTCAGCACTAAATCAAGTGTTATCCAAACAACCAAATGGCTCACTACCAACACAAACTCTTGGTTATATAAGCTCAAGTCATGCTAGATTATAAAGTCCCCCACAATGAAGCACTCTAGCCAAAGTATGGCAATTTAAAAGTGGCTTTTCAAACCCCCCTATATCTCACACTTCCAGTTAGGCGACTTTCTGCGTTCGAAGAAATTCCCAACGAAAAATTCCCAAACTTGATTCTTTATGCAACCATTAGGTTTAATTGTCCCAGCAGAATCATCATCATCATCGTATCATCATTGACTTTACACGGATGCAGCACGAATCTTTAAAAATAGCCAATGAGAAGAAAACGGCGAAAAAACAAACAAAAACTCAAGCCAACGAGATACATTCACAGAGATATGAACATTAATATTATTGCTTCGGGTCTTCAGCCCTCCTCAACACCCCCCACACTCTTGGGAACAATGCTGATTAAAGAGAAAAAATAAAAAAACTCACAATCTCACACATAGAAACACATTATAATTTAGCCGACCTTGAACTTGAACGAATGCCTCGGGCATTGTTGTAGCATTTGTTTTTGTTTTCTGCTGATTAACAATTAACAGAACGGGCATAGAAAGCGAGAACCGTCGAAAGAGGGTGGTTAGACGAGATAGATCAACCAGAGTTTCATGGATATTAGAACAAGATACTTTTTTTTATAGATATCTCACCTTGCTAACGAGCAAAACAAAGCCTTTATAAAATAATTGGGCAAACAAGATTGTCACAGTAAAAGGTGTAGAGAACAAAAACACATATGAAAACAAAGCAAATAAAATGAGCTTTCAAAGCTTTATAGAATTACTTGCGATAATAGACCTTTAAGAATTGGGGAAAACCCGTCCTGCAGCGCAACTATCAAATTATTATTCCTCTTTGAACAGCTTTAGGAATAAGTACACAATATTGTTCACTTGATAAAACATTAGTTATAAATAGAGAAGTCATTTCTTATAAATGATTCTACTTCATCCTCAAGGGAAAATCAAAAAGTATCTGTCAATATAAAGAAGCAAAACGATTTATAACAGAAAAAGTCTACGTAGCATCTTGCAACCAAAAACATCAAACGATCCATTCTTATTACGACCCTATATATAAGATGAAAAACCATAGGGAAAATTCATTTTTGGATAATCTATATCATTTTTAACAAATATAAAGAACTCAATTTTTCTTTTTAATTTTTTCTTAGACTCTCTTCCAACATTTCAAATTTAAAAAATCCGTATCGCAGAGTTGTCTATATGGATATGTATATGTATGTTCAAGTAGATCGGGGGATCGGTTGAGTTTCGTAAGAGAACGTGTTTTTCGGTGTTTGGTGTTTGTTTGGCAACGCTTCAAGCAATTTCGAGAAACAAACGCCAAACGCAAAATGAAATTTTAAGTAAAATATATATACAATATAAATTTAAGGTGTACACTTAGAAATAAATCGGAAGAAGAGTGGAAACTGGGAGTTACACTATAGCTTACCCTTGGGCCCATCCACTCTTTTCAGGAGAAAGAGAGTTCTTGTAGATTTTTTTTCTTTTTACACTTTACCTGGAATCGCTGTAATATAAATGTTTTCTTTTCTTTTTGATGAGGAATGATGTTGATTTGGGGAGGGGAAATAGGGGTGATATAGGGGGATATAAGGATGGGGCTTTAGGATCGGGTATTATATCGGGGGTCAAACAAAAATGAACTTAAAATAAAAAATTTACTTCATTTTTGTATTGCACTCCGCCCAACCGATACCGTCGAGCGGAGCATACTCACCTGAACACGCACCTGAGATTTCCGCGCTGAAGTTGGATGCTTTCCGGGTGTTACAGTTGGATCTCGTCGAATGGCCCAAAGCAGCGACTGTACCTCACCATCTAGGATGGCTACGAGCTTTGTTTTTGGCCACGACTTGAGACCATCGGCAGCTAATCCTCCTCCAAAAGCGACGATCCCACGGTTTGCTCTCCTCGGTCATCAGGTCATCATCATCACTTTTCACTTGACTTTTTAAAGGGTTTTAACAACAACGTACGTACATCTCTTTTGGTTGTGGGAAAAAGTTTTCCCCAACGTAATAGACGTAATCGCGTAAAAAGAACGATCGCGCGCGTTACTTAGATCGGAAAAACTTACAGACTAGCTTTAAAACTAAAAACAAATTCATAAGGAAAATAAACAACAAAAAAAAAGTCCCGTCAACCAAAATAAAGCAAAATATATATGTTTATATAGAGATAGTACTAAAATACAATTTAAAACTGCATGCGTATTTTTTGTAATAATAATATGTATAAAATATAAAAGAACTGTGTAAAAACATTAGCACGCGCTGAGAGTTCTAAAGAGGAGGACAAACAAAATGGAATGGCACAAAAGTATAGAATGATAAATGAAAGTTTGAGCGTGTTTGTTGTTTGCGAATATGTTCGTGGGTGTGGTTGTGTGATATGCTTAAAAAATGCAAACAAGGTTAAGGCGAACAAACATAATCGAGTTTTGCTAGAATTGCTGGAAGTGTGGCCAAACTTTGCAAACTTTTGACGCGACTGTACTGAGAGAGCTTGCTTTGTGGGGGGCGGGAAATACATGTGGTCAGAGCCCTGCACACTCACACACACGCACTATTCACACACACACAATGGCACACGCACACAAACAGCAGCTTAGAGAGGGGGAGAGAGCGAGCGAGCGAGAGAGATCAAAACGCACACACATAGAACACTGTTGATACGTACATTTTTAAACACTAACTTAAATGATAAGGGAATTTCTTTGATTTTTCTGCCTAAGTTGAAGCTGCAGTGTGGGTGAGTGTGTGTGTGTTTGTGGGTGAGTCAGTGTGACCATGAATTATTATGGAATGCATTTTCTCTGCAGCTAACGGCTTAATGTTGGAAAGAGATAGATTGAGAGAAAGGAGTACAGAGGGGGAGGAAGAAAGATAGTGAGAGGGCGAGCAAATAAAAAATGTTGGGTATGTCGAAATATGCGATTTATATATATACAGTAAATAAGGCAAAATTAAGAGTTAATCAAACACCAATTGTAAAGAAACGTATTACGAAAATTCAACAACAAATGATCATACATAGAATCATACATATATATATAGATAATGGTATAATGAGAATGTTAGGGGGTGGTTGGTTGGGTGGTTGGGTTGTAGGGTTTTGTGGTATATAGCAATTATATATGTTTTGTGGTGTGTGAGTGGTAAATGTTTCTCATTTTCTTTTCAAAAGTGTGTGTGTGTGTTAAAAATTAATCATAATAAATAGATATGTACAAAAAAAAGATTACTAGTTATACGAATTATGTGTGTCATAATTAAAAAATTATTAGTTTTGTAAAAAATCATATTAAGTAAAGAAAGAGTTTTTAAGTAATACTTTCAACTTGCACAAATTATTCTTGTTTCGGGTTAATTTATCTGTGACGAAGTGAGCGGCGCAGGCAAAATGAAAAAAATATAATCAAAACAAGCATTTCTCATATTCTCGAATACAAAAGAACGCAAATCAGAGTCGTAAATTCTCGCTCCTCAACATTAATTTTGCAATGTTTTTTATATTGTTTTCTTTTTATCTGCGCCAAAAACACTCGCTCACAAATCTTGTTATTTTTGGTATTGTTTGTATTTGTACTTTTTCTTGTTGCTTGCTTTTTTCGTCTGCGCTATCTTGTTGAAAATTATATTTCGAAAAATTCTACTTTTTTTTTCTTGTTCAACTTTTAAGAGCTTTTTTCGGAGCACGACTTTTTGTAGTGTACTTTAAAATTGTAAAAAATAATGTTGTTGTATATTTAAATGTTTGTGTGATAAAAATGAAGTTGTGACCTTGAAAAGTTGGTTTTTGGATTTCAATCGTTTAATCTGCATTTGCATTTGAATTTAAGCTTGTTGTTTGTCGTGCTCGCTGGTTCGAAAAAACATCTCGTCTAATAAACTTCTAGGCTAAGCTGTACTTTTTGCTTTTTCATTTGTTCGTAGCTCATATAATCTCGAGTTCAGAGGCAACAAACACTCACCTTGAGGATCCCGTTGCTGTGCATCCTGTCCCAATATTCCAAGTTCATCCTGAGATCTGTCGTGCTGCCATGTTGCATATGCTATTGGAGAAGGGGAAATCACATTAGTTTCAAGAAAACAAGAGAGAGTGTGTGATGGAAACTCACTTTGACTAGATCCTTCGCCACCCTGGCTGGTGCCGGCCGTCTGGTCCAGCTCCTCCATTGTCATGTCCTCCTCGTCCAGTGTCAAATCCTCAACGTTCTCATCGTGCGCATCGTCATCGTATTCGGCCTTGGGTTCAATAACCATCTCGGAGCCCACCGATGACACGCTGTTGTCTTTGATCTTCTGCTTGTGATTCGACGACGATTTGTCCACAACGCTGGCCAGCTGCTTGACCACAACGCCGGCATGGACGGCAGATGCAGAGGCGGAGGCGGGATTGGGTCCACTGGCGGCGCTTGCTCCGCCAACGGCACTACCCTCGTCCATATCCTCGTCATCGCCCTGGACGCCTTGGGCGCCACCTTGGCTCTGGGCTTGTACATTCTCGGTGTTGATGGCATCGCTTGTGGTCTGCGCCTGCTGGTGCTGCTGCTGCAGATGAGCCTGTTGTACGGCGGCCGCTGACGCAGATGCTCCGCTCGCTGGGGCGGCTGTCGAGGATGTTAGTTTAGCGCTTTCAGTCTTTTTGGTAACGTTGGTGCTGGTCAATGGCTGCTGTTGTTGCTGGGTCGACGACGCTTGGCTGCTGCTGGTTCCGGCTGCCGGTCCGCTGGCCAACTGGGTGCTGACCAAAGCGGAGACGGCCAGACCGGCGCCTGTCTGCTGGAGGATTGACTGATTCGAGGCGGCGGCTTGTAACACGGACGAGTTGGAGTTGTCGTGGGCATCTGCAAAAAAAAATAAGGGGAAATATATTAATTAAATGGTAATTAAATATGCGAGACAAGACGGCTGTTAATGCAAAAATTCCAAAAATGAAACCTAAATTCCATCTTTAGAATGTTCTCGTCTTCGTGGTATTTCGGTTTCTATATAGCCGAATAAAAGATAATTTTAATCGCTTGACAACTCACCATTCTCCATGCTGCGACGTCTGACTTTTCGACGCCGACGCGACGGACTCGAGGAGCCCTCACGCGAACCGGACACATCGCCGGACGTGTCCATCGCACCGCCGGTGGCCAGGCGGGCCCGCTTCGTCTGCTCCAGTGTGTAGGCACCGCTCAGCTTGCCGCCGCGATGATGCTGCTGCTGTCCGGAGGACTCTGGCTTGGGGGCTGCTCCGCCGCCAGTGCGATTGTCCGACAGACCCTTGATCTGCAGCGATTCGGCGGCCTTGAGCAGGGCGGCCAGCTGATCCTGCGAAATGTTGACCTCGCCGCGATACATGTAGTCCATCATGGCGCGCAGCTCTTGGTACTTGACATCCTTGAGTATGAAAATGGGATGCTTGTCGTACTGTTCTTGTAGTAAGGTCTGTAGAGATGGGATATTCTTAGTTAAAGTGATTACTTTTTATTGGTTTTCTTGAACTTACAGCAAAGTAGGGACTGCATGCTGACAGCACCACCTTGTGGGCCTTGAGAAATTTGCCCTCGGCGGCTAGCGTGCAATCGACTAGAGTCTCGTTCTCCAGCAACGTGTCGAACACGCTGATCAGTGTGCTCTGGTGGTTGTTCCACCGCAAACAAAACTGCTGATCGTCATCCATTTTGGTATCTTGGGTCCTGGATGATATGGGGGGATGGTGTTGGATAGGTTTCCTTCGGAATGGGATCCCGGGGGGATTTGGGCCCACTTCCTTGGGGCCGAACGTTGAGCTCTCTCCCTGATTAGCGTTTTTTTCGCCACTCGTTTGCTGATTAACAATGGGCCAAACTTAGGGGTACAACAAAAGTGTGGGTGGGGTGGCTAAACAAAATAAAACTGCTTTCGCCTTCGGTTCTTCTTTATGTTCTTTTGTTTTGTGTGTCAGCAGTTATGCTGCAAAGAGAGAGAGAGGAAATAAAAAACGAAATTAGTAACGCGAAAAAAAACTCGCAATAATGCGGCCCAAGGTCAAGTTCATGTTTAATTTCAGAGCAGCAATAACAATATCTTTCATCTCTTTTGCACGCTTGAAATTTCAGCTAGATTATTATTGTTGTTTTGCATTCACACAAACACACACACACACAACGACATACTTGTATGCAAATTTTGCACAGCGAATTGCAGTTTTTTTTTTATTATTATTATTTTCGAGCGAGTTTCTGCTTCTTGTTAATTTTTCAACTTTGCTCTTTTCCAACACACAAGCGCTCTCACCAAAAGAGAGAGGGCTAACGGATTTGTGTTACAGTTGCTGCTGCTTCTGCTTCCCGACTGCGAGTGTGTTGGTGTTGGAGATCGATGGACACGATAAAAGCCGAAGAGACTTCGTGACGACCGAAAAATTAAGGAACGAAAAAAACGAAGCATGAAACATAAAGAGGGGAAGTTTCGCAGTCGGCGTCGCTGCAGCGCGCAAACATACATATATATTTGTGTCTGGGGTTTTTTTTTTGTGTGTCCGTTTTCTCCGTTGTGGAAAATTTCACAAGTAGACGCGCACACACACGCACGCAGACAAATATTTATGGTGATTTTCATTTTCCCCCCATCGCACAAACACACACACATATATATACATATGTACTCGCTAGCTGACTGATAATTTTTAAAGTTGAAGTGTGGAGCAATCGTTTCAGTTTTTTATGGTGTGTGCGGCGCATTTAAAAATAGAACGTTTTTCATTAGAAGCACCACAAGCACACGCACACACACTCGGGCAAACAAAGGCACCCATCATCATATAGATATGGGGGCGCTATTTCACAATCTCTCTCGCTCGCGATTATGCTCCACTTCCACTAACACAGCCACACACATACGAAAAACACTTACTGTTGTGTGTTGTAAATAATTAGCACTGCAAAGGTTGGTTTTTCTATTCTAGCTCCTCCGCTTCGGCCGTCGAGTTGAATGTTGTGTGTGTGTATGTAAAGTAAAATTTAGCCAGCAAACCGCACGCGTTGCCTCGCGATCTGCCGCACAACGCAGAGAACCAAACAAAAGCTCCGAGCGCACAAAACCGAATGAAACGACGCAAATGTGACGGCAACTGAGCGACCCTCGAAAACGACGCCTTGCTGCTCTGGCTCTGCTCCGCCGCTCGAGGGAGAGAGCGTGCTCGCTCTCTCGCTCACGCCAATGGCCGCCTAGCGGGCGAAGTTGCTGCCCGAGCGAGAGGGGGCGAGTTGAGAGTTGAGCGTCGTTCTCTGTTTCTCCCTCTCCCGTTTGGGGGCACGTTATGAAATTGCCAAGTAGGCAAAAGGAGAGAGCGAGAGAGGCAGGTAGGCTGCGGCAGCGACGTCGGCAGCGGAAAAAGGAGCCCAAAGGAAAAGGGAGAACTGCAGCGGCAATAATCGTGCCAAAGCGAAATAACGGGAAATACACACAGGCCAACACATACAGGTAGCGAAAATTGGCTGGAAGAACCGTTTATGCATTGATTTTCAGCGTTATTTAAATAGTTTATTCAGTTATAGGATGGTTTTATAAAGGGGATGCCTCAAACTATAAATGGAGTTTGAACAGTTTTCGTTTCCCCCCGAAAACCTAGAAAACTGAAAACTAACTGTTCTCCGCGGCAGCGAGTGAGGGAGATGGCCATACGCAAATGTCTACGTGACTAGAGGCTCCCTTTTTCACTCCCCTTTGTGTTTTTCACTTTTCGCCAGATCCAGGCGCAAAAAACTAGAAAGGGAGAAAATGAGAGAGAAGGAAAAGGAGGGAGCCAGAGGGAGAGAATCACCCCCAGGGCGACCCAAGCCAAGTACCGTTAGGCGGAGGGATCAGTTTTTCGAGATTCTGTTATACACACCCAAACACATGGTCCACATGAAAGGAAGGTGCAAGGCATGCGCACAAAATACACGGCAAGAAAAACTAATAATGATCAATTTCAATTAGTCAACAAATTAATGTTAAAAATAGATAGAAAGAACATGCGATTAACACATTAAATGTTACTTCTTTTAAATATGAAAAGTGAAAATGTCGTTTGACCTGCTTTTTCCTCTGAATAAATCACTAAAGAGAAGCGGCAAAAACAACAACATCACGTTTTACCCCAATGATGATGCATTGGAGGGGTTTTCCACAAAACGCACACCAGCACACAAAGGCGTACATAAGTCGGCACAAAGAGAAGTAGGTAGTAAAAACTGCAGGGAGGCGAAAAAGGATCTCTCTCGTTCTCCCTCTCTCTCTCTCTCTTCCTTTTGGAAAACGAATGACGCGCGCTCTTTGCACATTGCAAGGTTTTATTTTTGCGCAGATGGTGGAGGATTATGAATTGGGATCCTGTGACCGAAAAGAGCGAGAGAAGGCTGTGTGCTATATGGGCTAGTGAGTTTGTGTGCGTGTGCGGAAAAAGTACAGTTGGGCCCAAAGGCTCGCACTTCTTTGGGGTTCGGTTTTCCCACGAGAACCCACAAAAGATGAACTACATAAAATGTGGGGGTGGAGTAATGAGCAATCGGTAATTGGAGACTGAGAGAGCGCGACTGTGTTGAGGTCTACTATCAAACCATGTCCAGAATTCTATTTTACGGAGCATTGTTAGCGAAAATCTCAACTGGGTTTTCATCTGGCAACTGCATTAGGAAATGTTTTGGCAACAATAAATCCAAAACACTAATGGCTGTTGCTAATGGAGTAATGAATGATATAGGTATGGAAATGCAGCTTAAACTAGGATCCTTCCCTCATTTATATTCCTAAATAATGATCATTAACTAAAATATCTTTTCATCTTCATGGATATGATATATAATATCATATTATTTATAGAAATAGTAACTCTGTGTTGAGATCTACTATCAAACTACGCTCATATATTGTTTTTACGAGACGTTGTTAGCGAAAAACTCAACTGGAACTTTGTTTTAGCAATTGCAGGGATTGTATAAAAAATGAAATGTTTTTCATACTTCTTAAGAGAAAATTGCTTCGATCAGTTATAATAACAAAAATCCTTAAAGAAACTTAAACTGTGTTGAGATCTACTATCAAACTACGCTCAAATATTGTTTTTACGAGACGTTGTTAGCGAAAAACTCAACTGGAACTTTTGTTTTAGCAATTGCAGGAATTGTATGAAAAATGAAATATTTTCATACATCTTAAAAGCAATTGCTTCGATCAGGTCAAAACTAAAGTCCTCAAAAGAGTCTTATATTGTGTTGAGATCTACTATCAAACTACGTTCAAATTAATAAATTTACGAAACGTTGTTAGCGAAAAACTCAACTGGATTTTTATTTAGCAACCGCAGGATTGTCTAGAAAATATTGTAGTGCATTTTCCATACTTTTCTTAAGCGAGCTGCTTGTCATTATCTATGGAAAACGTAATCCCTTGAAATAAACATTTATTTTGTGATGAGATCTACTATCAAACTACGTTCAAAATTTTATATTTTACGAAACGTTGTTAGCGAAAAACTCATCTTTAGTTTAATTTAGCAACTGCTGCATTGTTAGAAAACTTCATTGCATTTTCATTCTTTTTATAAGTAGTTGCTGCGATCTATCAAAGAACTTGACAATTTCTTAATATTATTTTGTGTTGAGATCTACTATCAAACTACGTTCAAAATTTTCATTTTACGAAACGTTGTTAGCGAAAAACTCAACCTTTGGTTTAATATTGCAACCGCTGTAGTACGAAAAACAGATAATAAATTTTTCGCATTTTGATTGGGTTGCATATACTATCAAATAAGTACTTAAGATCAATGTAGGATGAAAATGGATTATAATATGAATCTGAAATACCATGGTATATCTTCCTTTTTAAGCTTATAGATCGGTTTAAAATACGAGAACTGCTACATATTTTAAACATCCTTATCCTTTTGTTATAAACTTGTTTTGGAAATCAGCTATTTAATTAATTCAGGGGGTTCAATGCCAACAGACTTTTCGAGTGCCAGATGGAAATGAAAATGGGATGCTTTGGTGGGATGGGGAGCGGGATAATATATAAAGGATGTGGACGGATGTCGGTCCCCGTTTTCTAAGCACGCGCCAGACGGTAAAAGGTAAAAACCTCGGGAGAACCGGTTTACGGAAAAGTAGGAGGATGAGGGAGAGGGTCCTGTCGGACGACCCGAGTTTTTTGGGGTTGCAATCAACCCCTAAGTAAAATAAGCCGATCCCCCCTCTCTTCATGTTCTTCGTATAGTATTATGTGTATATGTATTCTCCCTCCATTTTCCATCGTCCTGCCGGCAGATGTTGGATCACAACTGTCGTCCTTTTCATTTACTACTTCTCTTGGCACACAGGAAGCGCCGCCAAAGTCTGGAGCCCCTCTTTCCTTTAAAGTAATGAAAATTCTTGGTCATCGAAAGAGAGAAAGAGAGCTTTAAACTTGGTAATATTAATGGGGGGCTGTGTCGTCTGGTTTTCAAGAGTTCTGTGTGTGTTCTGTGCAAAAGTCAAAAGAAAAACCGGTTCTTCAGAACATACAAGAACTGTGCCATTTCGAAAATCGAAACGGAGGAGCGGGTGGTGGTCGCCATTCTCGGCAGTTGGCAAGTCGAGTCTTGTTTGTTGGTTTAGAGATCCGAGAGATCCGATCCGATCCGTTCCGTTCCATACCGATCCAATCGGTTGGCAGAAAAACCAGTTTAAGAAACTCATTTCATTTCACATCGCAGCCAGAAAAATCGCCATGACACACCAGAAAAACAAATTTAAAATGGAAATAACTTAAAATTGAGAAAGAGGGAAAGAGAAAAATGAAAAAGACTGAATGTGTGTTGGAGGCCAAGAACAAAATATATAAAACTTCCCCCACAAGATTTGCATAAAGTGGAATCTTTTTCTGCTCGAACCGAACCGCATATACACATGCAAACACACATTGCGAGACATAAAATTTGTATATTTACGACGTAAAAATAAACTCGACTCGTCGACTGACTCTCGCACTGACTTTCAATAATTTAATTTCTGGCAGCTGAAAATGTTGCTGAATAGCAGCAGCAGCAGCAGCACAAATACCAATGAAACTCTCTCGCTTCGAAGCCCAAAAAACAGAAAAACAAAAAACCGGGGGGAAAAAACACCTCTGAAAACCCACGTAGGCGTCTGTCGCTCATTTATTTATTTTTACACCCTTTCTGCCCGTCGATTTTTTTTTTTTTGCTTTGCACATGTAGAAGCTGAAAACAGGCTACAATCGAAGATTGAGAAAAGCTGAATCAAGTGCGAATGGAGGGGATCAGGTGGAAATATGCCAACAATCTGAGTCAACATGGGATCGTCCGGGTAAACTACCCAAAATATGATTAGTTATTATAATTTCTCAGAAGAGATCAGCGTTTTTTCCAAGCACTTTGCGTATGTCATATGAGACAAGTTTTTAGTAATCAATAGATAATCCAACCGGAAAGTTTTTCTATTTAACTAACATTAATCATATTATTAAATAATATGCATTCGTTCCTGAAAGTTCGTGACATCTTTGGAATCCTTGAAAGTATATGAACTTTTAAGATACAGTTGACTTTGCCCCATCAAAATTAGATGGAAATATGGTTATTGCTTTTATTATTAAGTACTGGATATAGAATTGAATGAGTTTTTAACTTTTTACACAGTTTAAATAGGAAAAAACATAAATGTTCCAACACTAAAGTTTTAAAGACTTTATAAAGAAACAGATATTTTGTGTCTGTTAAATATATGTGTATAATATGTTGAAGACTTTTAAAACTCAAACTAAGATATTATAGGTTTTTAAATTCCTGAAAGTGCTTTGGAACATATCGTTTTCCACCATTTCCATGCTTCTTTTTCCTTTCCTTTTCCGCTTCGCTCGGTTCTGTTCAGCCGCAGAAAATGTCGTTTTGCCATTAAAGCAGCGAAAAATGTATTAAAAAAAAAACGTCAACCACAAAACTTGTTTTCTCGAAAAGCTATTTAAAGTGAATGTTAAGGGCTTGTTATGCGCGAATGTATCTGTATTTGTAGATGTATCTGCGACTGCGAGAATTTTATTTGAGTGGGAGCGGAGGAAGTGGCGGTGCCTTGGGTTTCGGTGATGTTATCTACATCTATCTTGGGGTCCAATGGAGATTTGCCCTGCTGATGGTGTTGCTTGATCGTTTTGTTTTTTATAACATTTTTTGGGCAAACTATTTGTGGGTTTTCCGCTTGTGTTTGAAGGGCATTTGCAGGGCTGCCATTTATGGTGGGCTTACGATCGAAAAGTAGATCGATTTTTCAATGTTACCCTACTATTAAAATGAGGTTCAATTTATTTGCTCTGTTTCTGTGACATTATAGTATTTATCTTGAAAGTTTAAAGTTGTTTTAAGTCCGTTAAAGTTACTAGACTTGGATATTCAATATTTCTTTCTTCGAATATCATTTTTAAAATAAATAATAAAAATAATCATTGTTGATGAACTGCAATCTTATAAAGTTACATCCCTGTTGATTGGCTCATTATATTTTTGCAACTTGGTTATTTCCGTCCAAAACTTATTATTAAATTGGTAGGCCAATTCGAGTGAAAGTGAAAAAAACTAAGCCAAAATAATCAACAATAAACAGCGAAATAAAACGCACAAAAAGTTCAATGAACTTTTTTGCTAATGGCCAAAGCGAATAAGTAAATAAAAACTAACAAAAATAAAAGTCGGCCAAAGAGCAGTCGCCGATAACGGCTGCTCATTATTTTTCTTTCCTTCATTTTATTTTTTCTATATTAGTTGTTTACTGTAATAACAAGAACATTGCGAATAGTGGAGAATAGAGAAGAAAAGTGCGAACTGTATTTTTTGGCACGTGCGTGTGTAGGTCAGAAATTCAATGCAAGGTCATTGGTTTTTCAAAAACGGAGGGGAAAAAGAAACTGATGACTCGAAAGAAATATATATAAATGGTAAACAAAGAATTAAGGCAAGAAACCGGGTGGAAAAAAATACAGTTTTTGATTTCCTACACTTGTTGCGCAAAAGCTTTTTTTTTATATCTCATTTATTATTGTTATTATTCTGCACATGTGCGTAGAATGTAAACAAATGAAACTTTTGCAAAAGTCGCAGGTGAGATTTGGCAACGTCGCAGAAATCGTATAAAAGATTAGGCGACACGAAAATATGAAAAATGGAAATGTGTAAACGTGTCGAAAAGAAAACAACAAAAGCGGCGTAGCAGAAGTGTAGCACAAAGTGGAAACAAAAATATGTGGCTACCGCTGCTCTCTCCTTCCCTTTCCCTTTCCCACTCCCCTCTCTCTCACACTCACCCACTGTCTTACTGTCTCTCCCATATTCCCAAGTGTGTGTGTGTGTGAAAAGTGCAGAGAGAAAATTTCACGCTTGTTTTTGTATTTCTTTTTTTTTTGTTGTCTTGTGAACAAACATAAAAGCGAACGAGGGAGTAAGGCGAAAAGAGCGGGAGAGAAAGAAAAGGGGAGCCAAAAGAGCGAGAGAGAGAGCGCCTAGCATTGAAAAAATATTTTATGTGTGGGGGAAAAACCAAGATGGCGGCCAGCGAGACTTTGGGAATCTATCGAAATGAAAAACGTGCTTTTTTCTAGGAGTTTTACAAATCAGCATTTCTTTTTTATTGCACTTCAGCCGAGTGCCTTGTTTACTAATTACAAGCTTTTCTTTTCTTCTCCCCCTTCCTTCAAATTTGCAATAAAAAGCTTATATAACTTTGCAACACACACACACATACACATGTGTATGTAGTTGTGGGGTACTTGTATGTAGAAAACATTTCCCACTGCAACACTTGACCTCATTTGCATGGAAAGTGAGCCACTGGCTGTGTGTGCGTGTGTGAAAATTAATGAAAATCGCCCGTCATTTACTTCAGCGTTGCATTTTGCGGGAAAGCTCTCACTCTCCCGCTCTTTCTTTCCCTTCCTTTCCTTTCGCTGGGAGAAAGAAAAGCTTTCTCCCGTTTGACGAGCATAGGGAAAAATCGATAGAAACACCACTGGAAGTATCGATTCGATATGCAAAAACACAGACACACACACAAGCAGATAATTGCCAAGTACAGTTCAAATGCAAGTTCTTACTATATATTAATTTAATAATATGTTTAACTAATATATTTAACAATTTTTTTTTATACACACCGAAATAGAATCACAGGCAGCACGTAGTCGTCAATAAACTTTGCACATATCAAATTTTGGTGTTGCTTTTCCAAGCCATACATATGTATATAATAAAATATATATATGTATATAATACAGAGAAACACACACACACACGCACGATAACGCGACGGGGGAAAAGCAATAAAGTTGAATTTATTTTTACTGTATGTGATTGTGATGGGGCCCTGTATGCATGTGTATGTATTTTCCTTTCCCGCTGCCGTGGAGAGCAGAAAGAAAAAGAGTAGGCAGCAGCAACAACGCACCACACACTGAAAATTGCGGACGCGCGAAGCCACTGAAGAAAAACTGACGACTGACGACGCGACTTTCCGCTGGCGCACGAAAAAACCAAAACTGTCCAAAGCAGAGGCGCCGAAGAGCGCCGACTGAGACAGAGAGAGAGAGCGAGAGAGAGTTAGAAACGAAACCGAAACCCGAAGAGTGCGAGTGCGAGTTCGAAAACTTGAGTTGACGTCGTCTGTTTGTCTCCCCTTTCCACCCTCTTCCTCTTCTTAGACCGTTCGGTGTGTGCTTTTTTGTATGCTCGCCGCGCAGAGTTGCCAACTCACAGGAACAGATCGTAGACAAGAAAAGCTAACGCCACTTTAGAAGGTCAAGTGACATACATACATACATGTTTGTAATGTATTTGCACTGCTTGTATCAGAATTACCTGTTTCATAGATTTTTTACGAACTTGATCCAAAACAATTGGTAAATCAGAGTTGCCACCCAATTAAGGTTCAAGACAAAGTTGAGTTGCCAATCCGGATCGGTAAAAGATAAAGTAAATGAAGGGCAAGAACATAGCATAATAATCTTAAGCACTTGATACGCTTGTAATCTAAATTCCCGACAAGACATGTACATTGTACATTGTACTTATGTTTTAGCCTGCATAGTTGAAATACAAATCTTCTGGGCAAAACCAAAATATTATGTTGTACAAACAAAGTGGTGCTTATACATGTTTTCACATAAAAAGTGTTAATAGATTAAACATGTTCATATACTTTTTTTAAATAAGTTAAAAGTTCTTTCGCTCGGGAATGCAATTAAAACATTAGCTTTAAAATTTAAGTAATGAAAACAAGGTGTGAGTATAAAAAGCAGGGTAACGCCATTTTCGCGGCATTGCAATGCAAGTTTTAATGACTTGTAAGATTTGCCAATTGATAAACTAAACCTTATTCATTGGTTTATTGGAAAATTAGAACCTCATCAAATGTCAACGGAGAGGGGTGGCAACTCTGGGTCCTATGTGGCGGAGTTCGAAAATATCATTCGCAATTGTTATTGTTTCCCATCGTGGGGCGAGATTTTGTTGTTGCTTTGAGCTTTTGTTTGCTCTGTTTTTTTTGTTTTTGTTTTTGCGACCAAAGCGAAGCCATAATGTTCGAAATGGTAAAAATTACCGTTGCCGAGCAAGCTCTCTCTTTCGCTCCCTCTCTCTCTCACTCGTTGCAATTGTTTATGGGTGTGCGAGGGGGATGGTGGATAGTTTCCATGTGTGTGAGAGCAGCAGTGCAATGCATTTCCTACTAAAAAGCGCAAATTATATTTTGTGCACTCTCCAAACGTTTTTATGATCGGCGTTGATTTATTTTTGGCTTCCAGCATGACTTCATCACCTAGCGTGATTTTCTCACTCTCTAATTTTTGTTGTGTAAAAATTATGTGTACCTAAATATGTACCTTAATTTTTAACGGTTTTATTTCGATTTTCGACTGGAAAATTAACATTCCTGTGCGAAATTCTACAACACACACACACATGCCAAAGCCAAATGCTCTAAGCAATACTAATTGATACGAGGAGTGGAGCCACACATAAATTCTACAGATCATTTGGTACTTTTGCTATAGAAATGATAATCCCCGCATAACATCACGTCGTTTGACAATCGCTCACCTGAATTTCCATTGGAGTTTCCATTGCAACTCGGTCACGTTCTCGCTCTCTCCCCTCTCCCTCTCTCTCTCTCACGAGGGGCGGCAAACACTCACAAACACCAATGTATTATTATCTATTTTGTCTCTTTTTTTTAATTGCAGTTGAACTCTAATTATAATAAATTATAGTTATGCACTCGACACGAAAATTTATTTTACATCACTCTGGTTTTTTTTAGGGTTTTAGCTTTTTTTTCGATATTCCACTGGAAAATTTATGTAATGCTTCTTTGTAAGTTACTAACAATTTATTTTTGTTCGATGTGGGTGGGAAACGACGAAAATTTAACGAGCGGAGCGACGACGATTTTATTCCTGAGAGTTGCCGTTTGTTAATGAAAAATCGCTGCAAAAAAGTTCGAATAAAAGTCGAAAAAAGAAATAGGCTTCGCATGTGTGCGTGTGTGTGTGTGTGTGAGCACGAAGTTTCTGCTTTTGTTGTTCTTTCTGCTGCATTCGAAAATCCGAAGATCGTTCGTGCGCTAGAACAAGTGAGTGCGAGCGAGATGGAAGTGTTCGACGATACAGTTGATTGCTTTTTGCGACTGTCTGCTTGGAAAAGGGGGGAGGGGGTAAAGGAGGAGAAGGTGGAGAAAGAAGAAGAAGAAGGGGTTGTGGCAAAAGGAAGTCGCGCTAAATGAAAAGGCAAAGAAAATGTTGTTTTTTTTTTTCGGTTGGCACCTTGTACATAAGAAAATATGGTATATGGAGTTCTATGTAAAAAAGCTTTATTGATCGTAAAAATATGGGAAAATGTGTGGAATGCCAGGAGGTCGTTTAATTTTCAGCATGTTAACCTTTAATAAAAAGGGTTTTTAATACTTTTATAATAATTTAAAAAGATATTCATCATTTTAATGAGTATATTAAAAAATGTTTTAACAAAAACCCAAAAATTATACATACCATAGATCGCCAAAACCTGTACAAAATTAAAATAATGTCAAAGTGTCGTTAAAACCTTTATGGGACATTTTTTAAACAGTTAATAGGTTCAAATTGTCTTTGACAAATTATAATGGAGTGGTATTATATAAAAAAATTTCCATTGTATCATATGTAATGTACATATGTAATTTTTTTGTGATCAAGTATGATATTATAACTATTTTGTAATTCATGACATTACATTCATTTTAACTTACGGGGTTATTATTACTTTATTTCTCCAGAAAATTTGGAAAAAACATGTTGGAATATACATATCTAATACCAATAATTATTGTCTAGCTACTGAATTTTAATTCTGAGGTTGTATTATATTTCTTTTCAAGGAATTTTAATGGTTAACGTATTTTTAAGTAACAAAAAATTATCATAAATCCATTAATAAATTAATAGCTCAATTTAATCGACTCAAACTTTCTTTTCAAAGTGGTTTTCAACAGAATAAAGTACCCAAAATAAAATGATCTCATCATGCATTTGCAGAACTTCGCAAAACAAAATTTAAATAAATTAACAGCTAATGTACATAGGTAATATTATTACAAATAAAAGAAATGTAATTAACGCCGAAGAACATAATTCACCAGCCACCTGTCATTATTTTTAGCGAGGCAATTAAAATTCCCGGCTGGGGGAAGTAGAAAGGTGTCAAGAAGAGATTAAACTTTCAATTTATGGTTCCACTCTTTTTTTTATTTTTGCAATTTGCCATTTTGCATATCTGTTTGTTTTGCCAATTGCTACTTTCTAATAAAATCGTCAATGTACAAGCATACCTGTGAGCACACGGCTCACATTCATATAAAACTTTGCCCATTTTTTTCACCGTCTTGCATTAGCAATTGCCAAAACTTGATTTTGATGCTTAAAATATAAATGATTACTTGATTTGAGCAAATATGTGTATGAAAAAAGTCAGCACAAGACCATAATTACACAGAAAAGCAGGAACAACTATAATGCTAATGCACTTTGAGAAATATGAAGATTCTGGATCTGTACTTAAATAAAAGTAGGAATTGTTGATTATATTATTTTATTTTCCTTTTTCTGAAATATATACAAAGAATACATCCTAAGTAGTGAAATAACAAAGGTTTTAGTAATAGTTGGAGGTATCTTTATGAATATTCTGGATCTATACTTAAATAAAAGTAAGAATTGTTGTTTATATAATTTTATTTTACTTTTTACGTAAATATATACAAAGGATAAATCAGAAAAAATTGAAATAACAAAGGTTTTAGTAATAGTTTGAGGTATCATCGATTCTTTTTCCTAATATCATCATATCATATCAAAACAATAGGTTTCAAAAATGTGCTCAAAACCAGTTTATTATGATTTTCAGTAAAAGCTTCTTAAAGTTTAAAAACTGTCACTTAAACTTTGATTGAATTAATATCAATGTAAAAATAGAAAATATATTAGAAATCATGAGAAAAATATTACCTTAATATAGGATCAAGATCAAATAGTTTTTTACAGTGTATTTCTGTCGCCCGCGCAGCAGCTAAAAAAGCTGCGCTCAAAGAAATTAACAATAAAAGTTGGAAATTTTTTTCAACGCTTTTTGTTTATTTTTTATGATTTTTTTTTTGGCTCGAATGACGAAGAAAATATTCGCCGAGGGAAAGAAGAAGCAGAGGAACCAGAGTTCCAAAACTCGTTTGGCATTCGAAATTCCAGTGTGTGTGCGTGTGTGTGTGCTTTTGTATTTTTGGCAACACTTCTACGCTGCCTTTTTCATTGTTGTTGTTGTTGTTGTTATTCCACCTGGGCAAAGTGAAAATTTATGCCGCACCCCGCTCGAAAAAAATACAAAAAAAAAACAAAAAAAAAATGAAAAAAGTTGGAGTCCGTGATTTCACACAACAGACCAAAATTCCAATCCATTTCAAAGCCGCCAACAAATAAACAAAAGTCAATATGTAATTGAATTTTTTCCGCCGTTTCTTTTGCTCAACAATTTTCGTCGAACACATTTTTGTGGCTTTTCTTTCCACATACTTCGTTTGCCTGTTTATGTGTGTGTGTGCGAGTTTGGTTGCTATTTTTGATTTCCATTATGATTTCGCGCCGCTCTTTTCACAGCTCCCAATTCCAATTCCCAATTCCAATTCCAAATCCGATTCGGGTTTTTGAGCTTCGCTTCGTTTTCATTTCGAACTCGAATCGGAATTAGCATTGCATCTCTTTTTCTACCGCTCTCGCTTACTCTCTTTCGAGCGATTTTCGCACAGAGGAAAACAATTCGAGATTATGTGTTCTATACTTAGAATTATCTTGATCAACTTAGACTTTACTAATAAAAATTTGGTTAAACCTAATAGATCTTCGTAGAAAATTGTTATACATCTGAAAATCTTCAGTATTGTCATTAAGACTTCGTTTAAAGTATTAATAAGACAAGTATTAC